TGACTTTAAAATTTCCCGGGAAGTCCCCAAACGCCAAAAAATGTTTGGGTTGGGTTGGCAACGTCTGAATAAAGGACAGGCAATTAACTGTTTACAGGGGTCATGACATGCTGAATGTTGGATCTGAGTTCAGAATCGACATCATAGCACTCGGGACACTCCCATAAGTGCTCCGTCCCCATCTTCAACAGTAAGCGAAGAGTTCCAATTCCGATGGTAACAATAACATGCTGACAAACCACACAACACTAAACAAAACAAAAACATCACTACGGTATATGTGGAGGTAATATGCGACTAGATATTCTCAAAAAGAAGAGGCTGCGAGACTGACGGAGGTAGCTGAACCTATAAATATGTAAGCACATATCCCGGGGCAAAGCAGTCAGACTATCACCTTTTGCACCTTTTACAAAATGCCCCCCCCCCCCCTCAAAGCCATCTTAACAGCATTGTGTACGCGGCACCCCTGGACAAACCAGAGTGCTGGGGCTTCCATGACAACCACTCACAGGAATGAAATCTAAATGGTCACTAGACATACAGTTCAACAAGGGGCCCTATGTTTGTGGGCCCATCGGGCAGGTGTCGAGGTGCTCATATGTTTTGACGGCACGGGTGACCCTACCCCATATAAAGGTTACATAAAGGACATAAGAATTGTAGAAAGGCTTAGTTGGGTCATTCTACAAACAAGGTTGAGAAACACTGTTGTTAGACCACATCAGCACTGGACATTAGTTATTGTCCAGGGAATTACTTGGTGTCTATTTAAGACTGGACTGACCTGGGAGCCAAGGTCATTTTTTATTAATTCGACTGGATGTGAATTCGAACTTTCGGGCCGAAAGGTAAGAGTTTAGCCACTATACCACTATGGCTTTCACTTATGTATACAAATAATTTGGCATTGACGTCAGTTTGATAAAATTAAGGTACCAGTCATCCTCATTATTATCGTGCCGCCCGGCTCTCTAGCGTAGTTGGCTAAACCCGATTGCGCGGTGACCGGGTGACGAACTCCTTTGGTCCCGGGGTTCACCCCGGAGGACAATGGAATCAAGCCGAAAGGTTGCGATATCCATAATAACGAGCTAATGGTTAAAACTATGGCTTCTGGATACTAAAACAAAATATCTATGTGCCCAACAGCGAGTCATGTTGGTGTCATCGTGCGTTTGACACAATGACGGTCCGGGACTTCATGGCTGCATGCCCAAGGCCTGTCCAGTCGATTAAGTCTGTATCCAGGTCTTTCTTGGTCTGACTCTTCTCTTCTTCCTTCCTGCTAAGCCCTGTACATTGTTTTTGACACGTCGTAAGGTCTTATTACGTGTCCGTACCATTGCATTCTCCGCATTTTCACTGTAGTAAAATGAGGTTCATAGCAGCTATGAGCGATGTAGGACCGTGACTGTGCTGCCAGTGTTTACAACCAAGCTGCGATATTTGTGCTTTCGAACAAACACATGAAACTCCACTTCAGCATGAATTATTCCCATTTCTCCTTTCTGGTCGATCAATCCTTTCCTCCTTTTCCATCGTTGGCTTTCCCAACTCAGAACCAGGCTGCACATTTCCCCGTTCAATCTGCAGGATCGAAGCGATGAACTGGCCTTATTTTCTGCCCCGCATGTCACAAAGGGCAGGTCTATCATCTGCTGACGTATTCACAATCAATACAGTAGCTGGCTTTCAATCCGCGGCGGGCTGGTCCAAGGGGCATCCTAACTCAACGATGTAATGACAGACATTAACTGACCTGGGAAATCCCGACTATCTCATTAAATCGTTGCCAGGGTCGTCGTGCGGCTCTGTGGCAGATGCTAGTGAAATATTTTCACACTGCAATTCTCGGCGTTTATTGGGGTTTGATTCAAGCAGTGGCCTTGCTAAGAAGAAAAAACACGTTCTTGTGGCTTTTAGACAAAAGTAGAACAATCATACAGTGGAAGAGACCGGACCCTCACCATAAATCTCTATTTTGCACATAGAGATTTGGACCGCACGATAGCTTTCATCCTGGCTACTTGCCTCCAGATTTAAGTTTTCTGAGATAAAAGTCGCAGAAGAAGAAGAAGTTTAATTTTATTTCCTACACTATACCCTCAAAACATCATCTGTTTAGCTCTACTTTCTGTGATTTAATTTAAAGTTTTCGCCAGCTTACGACTAAGTTAAAGTTTTCTTTTGTCCATCCGTGGCATTTTGTATCTCTGTCTATCTTCTTTTACACCACCAGAACATCACACAAGCGATAATCACCCGATGACACAAAGTGCCACCATGAGGATGAGGATCACCCGTGGAGAGGTCCCAGAAACCGCGTTCAGCCATTAGACCATATTTATGGCCAGGCTATATTGCGGTCCCTGGTACGAGCCAGAGAAGGGCTTCAATAACGAAAAATTGCACCTCACAAGGAGGTGACTGGATTACAGTTAAGCATTGTGTACATTTCACCCAAGAAACCACAAGTCTGCATCAGGCACATGAAATCCGTACTTCCGCTAAGAGTTTAGTTAACTACACGACTTATCATATAATATGTAACATACATTCACAGATGGTACCGTAAAGCTCCACCAATAGATTGTGGTGTGGCAGGTTTAGGCTCACTTTCCTGACAAGCCATAACCAGGACTAGAGGGAGGTGTGGCAGGTTTAGGTTCACTTCCCTGATTCCCTGACAAGCCATAACCAGGACTAGAGGGAGGTGTGGCAGGTTTAGGTTCACTTCCCTGACAAGCCATAACCAGGACTAGAGGGAGGTGTGGCAGGTTTAGGTTCACTTCCCTGACAAGCCATAACCAGGACTAGAGGGAGGTGTGGCAGGTTTAGGTTCACTTCCCTGACAAGCCATAACCAGGACTAGAGCGAGGTGTGGCAGGTTTAGGTTCACTAACGACAAGTCTCCACCGGGACTAGAGCATGGTGAGACGTATTTAGGTTCCCTCGCATGACTAGCCACAGCCAGGAAAATATGGTGTGACAGGTGTAGGTTCACTCCTCTGACAAGTCACCTCTGGGCTAGAGCGTGGTGTGACAGGTGTAGGTTCACTCACCTGACAAGTCACCTCTGGGCTAGAGCGTGGTGTGACAGGTGTAGGTTCACTCCCCTGACAAGTCACCTCTGGGCTAGAGCGTGGTGTGGCAGGTGTAGGTTCACTCCCCTGACAAGTCACCTCTGGGCTAGAGCGTGGTGTGACAGGTGTAGGTTCACTCCCCTGACAAGTCACCTCTGAGACTAGAGCGTGGTGAGACGTGTTTAGGTTTCCCTCATCTGACTACTTACAGCCGGTAATAGATCTTCATGTGACAGGTTTAGGTCCACTCTAATGAGGACAAGTTACCGCGGAGAATAGATCTGCATGTGACAGGTTTAGGTTCGCTATTTTGATGACGACAAGCCATCCCTGTGATGACCCTGGCCGATACAAGGGGAACCATCTGTTTGGAGAGAACTGATACTTATCACTATCATCAACATCATCGTCACGTGCCATGTGAGGCGGCGTTGGTGCTCATGTCTCTCCACAGATCTCAGCCCTTGGTATTCTGAATCAATCCCACTGATGATTTTCCTCGCTGCCATCACTTCAGGCCGTAACATTTCTTATAACTCCTTTGAAATCAGACCATCATACTCCTTGCATTGATGTTATGTTAGCATTTATGTTGTGCACTTTAAATATTGTTAGTGTCTTTCAAAAAAAATGTTGGTAAATAAGAGTCTTTGGAGGTCAACTGGTGCGACTGTATTTCTGAAGAAACAAGGGAAATGCGAACACTCTAAAAGACCGTTGTATGGAAAAGTCTTCTCTCTGGCTTGATGACATTTATCTCGAATCCTCGATTCCGGTGATGCCAGTAAGTAATAAATTACCGAGATCTGGGACATTATTTCAGTGGCTAGATAAAAACGATGTGCACACCCTGTCTAATTAAGACACCATGTTACAGGTGTCGGGATGTTCGTAGGTAGAAGAAATTGTGCTCTGTAGTGAGTCACCAACAGTAATAAGGTATAAGGTCAGTTGGTCTAATACTCGTATCAATCCTGAAGACCTAAGAAATCCTGAAGACCCAGTCACCCTCACATGAAAGCAAGAGACCACTGTCTTTAGATTTCCAACTGTACACAATAGACTCTGCAGCCACACGTACAAGACATTTAAGACTGGGGACTCTAAACTGTGCCCGTGTCGGCAGGCACCACACAATACTTAACAAGTGCTTCAGAAGTGCTCTCTATGTGTGGCAGAGAGGTACCAGGTGTGGCCGGTTGTATTTCAGTATAAAACCAAGCTGCGTGGATCAGAGGAGAACATAATTGGCACCACAACCTTCATAAGGGACCCAAGGCTTTACTATTCGAAAACCACTGGCAAGGAGAACAAGGAGAAGAAAACACTCGTATAATTTATAATACTGACGCTGAACATAAAAGCTATACCATTTTGTTTGCAAAGTTATTTATATGGACATTCGTGAAAGAAAAAAAACCAGATTGAATAGTGCTACTGAAGAAAGAAGTTTTTGTGGTGCGGTACGCTGACTCAACAAAAAGAAAACAAAAAGCCACTAAGGCTTAGCCTCTGAGGAATGAGCTGTAGGTGCTGCTAGGTCCTGTCCCTGTGGAGCCTGCGGAGAAAGAGCGTCACGACGCAAGTTATCTTCTTTTGGGGCATTCTCCATCTCGCTTTCGCTTCCACCTCCACCTTCTTCGCTGTGAGTCTTCACGTGCTTGGCCAGATGGTCGCTTCTCAGGAACCGCTTATTACAAAGAGGACAGGCAAATCTTTTTTCTCCGCTGTGAGATCGAAGATGCCTTTGGAGTTCATCGGAACGAGTGAACCTCTTTCCGCAAAACAGCCAGTTGCAAACAAAAGGTCTTTCTCCCGTGTGCCAACGAAGATGAGCTTTGAGGTGGGAGGTTTTGTTGTACACCTTGCCACACCCAGGAATGTGGCAACTGTGGATGCTTCTCTTCTGGAAGTGGTCTGCTGCAAGTCCTAACCTGTCTGCTTCCTGGCAGTTGGGACAATCACAGTTGGGACGTCCCGTGTACCGCCTTTGAGTGCGAGCACTTGGTAAACCGGCAACTCCTGATCTAGCTGTGGCCAGAAATGGAGTCATGGAGCAGGCAGAGCCAAAGTCTGACTGCGAGGACAACATAGACTTGTAGGTACCGTAGCTGTCTTGAAGGAAATGCTGACCAGAGGTCAGAAGAGCATTGGCAGAAACATTAGAGCCCAGGGCATGGGTTAAAGAAAAATCCGACGCTGGATAGTTTGGAGACATTTGAGATCTGAGTGCGGCGGCGCCGACCGAACCGGAAGCTGGGTCCGTAAGCCAGGAGCCGGTTCCAGCATGCATGTCCCACCAGCTGGATGCGCTGTTGGCAGATGGTGGGGTGGATATCTCACTCTTGACCTGGGGATGACCTGAGGCGCTGGTTGTGCTCACGTTGAATGACCAGGGGTCATAGGTTAGGGAGTGCATCCTGGAGTAGACACTACTGAGAGGCGTGTTTGCTAGAACTGGGTCTCCGTGCATCTGGGGATAAGTAGGTCAAATAGTTCTACGTGAATACTGAGACAACATCAAGTTTGTGAAAAGTCTTCCTCTTCTTCTTCTTCTTCTTCTTCTTCTTCTTCTTCTTCTTCTTCTTCTTCTTCTTCTTCTTCTTCTTCTTCTTCTTCTTCTTCTTCTTCTTCTTCTTCTTCTTCTTCTTCTTCATCTTCCTCCTCCTCCTCTTCTTCTTCTTCTTCTTCTTCTTCTTCTTCTTCTTCTTCTTCTTCTTCTTCTTCTTCTTCTTCTTCTTCTTCTTCTTCTTCTTCTGCTGCTGCTGCTGCTGCTGCTGCTGCTGCTGCTGTGCTGCTGCTTCTTCTTCTTCTTATTCTTCTTCTTCTTCTTCTCTTCTTCTTCTTCTTCTTCTCTTCTTCTTCTTCTTCTTCTTCTTCTTCTTCTTCTCTTCTCTTCTTCTTCTTCTTCTTCTTCTTTTTCTTCTGCTGCTGCTTCTTCTTCTTCGTCTTCTTCTTCTTCTTCTTCTTCTTCTTCTTCTTCTTCTTCTTCTTCTTCTTCTTCTTCTTCTTCTTCTTCCTTCTTCTTCTTCTCTGCTCGTTCTTCTAGTCTTCTTCTTCTTCTCTCTTCTTCTTCTTCTGCTCTTCTGCTTCTTCTTATCTTCTTCTTCTTCTTCTTCTTCTTCTTCTTCTTCTCTTCTTCTTCTTCTTCTTTCTTCTTCTTCTTCTTCTCTTCTTCTTCTTCTCTCTCTTCTGCTCCTTCTTCTTCTTCTTCTTCTTCTTTCTTTCTTCTTCGTTCTTCTTCTTCTTCTTTCTTCTTCTTCTTCTTCTTCTCTTCTTCTTCTTCTTCTTCTTCCTTCTCGGCTCGTTCTGCTTCTTCTTCTTCTTCTTCTTCTTCTTCTTCTTCTTCTTCTTCTTCTTCTTCTTCTTCTTCTTCTTCTTCTTCTTCTGATGATGATGATGATGATGATGATGATGATGATGATGATGGTGATGATGATGATGATGATGGTGATGATGATGATGATGTCTAACTCTGTGTCTTTATGAGAGGGAACGGACTCGAGAACTTGGTAACAGCTGGCAAGATCGATGGAAAGAGAGCAAGAGGAAAGGGAAAGAGATAAATACCCGTGTGGTCTGATGAGATGGATGGAGCTCAGACAAACAGATTGAACTGATACGTGATTCTCGTAATCGTGTGAGATGAGACTTGGCAGTGTACGCTTGCGATGATGTCTCTCACCATGTTTTGTTTTTTTCCTTTCTCATATTCGTATCTATTTCTGCCTCTTACCTGCAGCTTTACTCTCCATTGTGGTTTTTAAAATGAGTGTCATGTGAAACTTATAATTTTTTTTAGACACAGAGTTAGACATCGATTGTAAATAATGATCAGCTGACACTTGTTAGATGTAGGCTTCGGAGACGTCCACACGCATACCTTTCTGTGTGTCTTTTATCCATGTCCTACACACGTGGTCACACTCTAACAATTTCCCGCTCCCCCCCCCCATCCTGCATCATACGCCACGCTTGGTAACCCCTCTCTCCAGCCATTTTTTTTTTTTAACTGATCAGAGTTCACTTTTTCGCTTCTGCGCTCCTCTATAAAAGCGGTACCTGCGTCTTTGATGGTCTTTATACAATTCAGAGTGGTTGCAGGTAAGTATGACATATTTTATACAATTCAGAGTGGTTGCAGGTAAGTATGACATATTTTATACAATTCAGAGTGGTTGCAGGTAAGTATGACATATTTTATACAATTCAGAGTGGTTGCAGGTAAGTATTACATATGTTATACAATTCAGAGTGGTTGCAGGTAAGTATTACATATTTTATACAATTCAGAGATGTTGCAGGTAAGTATTACATATTTGATACAATTCTGTCCTTTATTAGTGTGTCATTTTATCTGTTTAGATATTTCATTACTGTAATGTCATCATTCCAGTCAGTGAATTGTTGTGCGTGTTGTGTTTTGTCTTGTCGCACCTCTGCTGATGAAGGCTAATTGCAGCAACGCTCGTTTTTATAGTAAGTAGTTTTGTAAAGCTAACACATACTTTATTTCGATCTGCATACAAATAAGCCAGATCTGTTAAACTGGTGTGCACGCAACACTTAAGTTCTGCGACAAGACTAAAGTCCGGAAGTGGACGAACAACCAGAACTTTACGATGGGGTTAACAGTCAGTGAACACGAAAAAGAAGATCGAAGAAGTAGTAGTAATAGGAGTCGAAATTCTAGCAACATCAAGTGGCACGATTTGTCAATAATGTAAATTCGCTAGTTAGAATCTAGAGGATGATTGATTACCTTGTGCTGGACTGGCGAGTGGGAGCCGTCACTGCCATAGGTTCCGCCTCCCATAGAAGAAGATGTGTTGAAGAGATCTGCAGGGAAAATCGCCCCGCTTATCGGAGGCGACGATGTTACTGCAAAACCATAACCCAAGTAGGCGGAGCTTGACGGTGATGGCGTTAACGAAGAGGTTTTCTGTTCTGTCATTCCAGCGGTCAGTGCACACGGGCTTGGCGATGATGGCTCTGCTTTCCTCCAGGGATGGAAGCAACTCTTACTACTCGGCAGCTCGTTAAATGGGGGAGACGATCTGTTGATGATTTTGTTGCATTGTTCGGCCAACATTTCCTAGTTGTGTGCCTGTGTGCACACGATTGAGTTCTTGTTCTGAAAACACAAATAAAGTTGTTTACAAAAATATCGTAGCAATACATATACACATGTAGATTATAACTACGTGGAGAAACTGGGCTTTAAATAATCCTCTGCACAGGGCTGTGAAGCAATGTTCGTCAATCTGTGTATGTTAATGTATCCATGTAATCTGCTGATGAAGGTTTTTTTATCCGCAATGTTCACGTTTCGCTTGTGTTTTTGATAATGTAAAGCTGGCTCGTTTTACTACTCGCTGATTTGAGATCTTTTCATTTGATTTTTTATAGCTTTACGGCAGTTCACGATTGTTACTTCACTCGTGTGTCTCGCCCTCACAGTCTGCTGTTTTCGTCTGTAGTCTATTTATGTAACGACTCTCATTCGGCTCTATTCTTTTGCATTCTACTCTGACATGTTGGTTAAGCGCTGTAACACATCACACTGGAACTGGGACACAAATGGAGAAACCACTAGATATCTAATAGCAATTCATTTTATTCTGCAACGACAATGCCCTCTGGATACACACATGTCAGAGGATGAATGCTAGGGCCCTAAGAGCTCACGAGTACTTACAAACAAAACATAAAGATGCATAGTGTCACAGCATTTGACGTTTGCAACTTTTCAAACTCACAACATGGTATCAGAAACATCGTAGGCACAAGTATCGTTCATTCTTCCATTCCTCCATTCTGTGACGTCATGGAGTCAGTAGCCAGGTTTCTCTAGGTTGGGCAGTTGAAGAAATCATCCTCGAAATTCAGCGTTGAGTCAAATCAGGATTCACTCCCTCCACAAAAATCAACCCCCAAGTGACCAGATCGAAACAAGACTAAACTAGCTTAGTTTCTCATAGCTTAAAGAGCATCTTCTTTCCCTTCTAGAATCGTTTTAGGAAAAGCATGCCTTGACCGTTTCTCGTGACTCTTGGCCAAATTCCGGTACTTAATTTATAACTTACCCCTGACGTCACGACAACGTCACGAGAGACATTCCCAATAAATTCTAGGGTGTTCAGGTTGTAGTTTCTCGCGATTTATCTACAGCCAAGTTTAGGGTTAGGGTTAGGGTTAGGATTAGAAGACACTAGATGAAAACTAAAAAAAAGCACCACACAACAGCACACTTCCACCCCTTGAAATAATGGACTGTCAGGTCAGCTGTGGATTTCCCACGGGGATTTCGTGTTTGGGGTACGTTATAAATTAAGAACCCAAATTCCCGCTTATCTTGTAGAGTTTGTGTTTTTGCTTTAACTCGACAATTAGTCTGTTCGCACATACATTTTTTTAAAGATCGCATATTTACATAGTTTATGAAAATGAGACACAAGGAGACAATGACTCATTATAATATATATTATTATCGTTTTATTCTTGTTCGTAATTGCAATAACATTGTCTTATGTTGTCTATTCATGTAATGTGCCGATGAAGGTTTTCTGGCCACAACGTTTACTTTTAGTTTATGACTGTGAAAATGTGTCAGGATCCACAAATCTGCACGACGCTGTGCAAACGATTACTGGATCAGGCTCAGTAAGCGGGTTCAGTCAGTAGCTACACTGGCAACATAGGAGCTATGTATGATCGCCATTCGACCAGTAACAATAAAAGTACCTCCCCCCACCCCCACCCCCACCCCACCCCCACATAAGCCACTGGTGGGTCATTAAGGGTCGCACAAACAACACTGGAACGATGGGTGCAGCATTACTCAGAACTTCACTCTACAAGAACTTTTGTGAGTGGTGAGGCTTTAAATCATTTAACTGTCCGCCCACCATCAGTGAACTAGACCTACTGTCACAGAAATCAGCGAAGCATTGGATAGGCTTTGGTGGCAAAGTCTTTGCTCGTGTGCGCTGCAAGGGATTGCAGGTTCTAGCAGACAAAAGTGTATCCGGAATCACAGTGTGAGTTTAAAGCCCAGAAATCAACAGTAGATATGATCTTCTCTACCAGGCAACTACGCAAAAAGTGTCAAGTTTTTTCCTCCCATTCACCCGACATTATTCCATTCTCCTCGGTCTGACAGTCTTTACAACGTCAGTGATTATTGGTGATTTCCGCAGATTATGAATTTCTTTATCGCTTCTTATGCCCCACACACACACCCACGCACGCACGCACACATACATACGCACGCGCACACATGTTGTAAGGCTTCATTTCTTTAAGGTGTGCACAAGTTTTGGAGCTGTGTGAAACAACTTCCTTCTCGCTAGGACTAGACTCTCTGTTCCCCCAGTTGTAAATCCACTCCTGCATATCTTCATGCGCCTGCGATTATCCAAAGACAATATCTAGTCCCGTACTGCGTGCAGTATGGAGCAGAAACACAGCGAACAACAAAGGCGATTACTATTAAAGTACTCAAATCAGTAACTGGTGCCTACACACAACAGGGCGAATTAAATGGTATAACAGAATCACAAACGTTGAGCTGTAGGAGAGAACTAAACAAGTTCCAGTGGACCGATAAGTGAAGAAAAAAACTGTCGTTTGAGACAGGGCTCACGCTGAGACAACCTGAGATCAGTATATCTAGAATGTCTTTGCAGTGGAACCAACAGGGGCACAGAAATAAAGGAAGACCAACAAACACACGGAGAAGGGAGCTAGAGGGTGACGTAACAAGACGGGAAGGACATGAGATGATTTGCATGCAATGGTGAAAGACAGAGCTTGCATGAGTTGGTTGGGGGCCTGTAAGAAGGCAGGAGAAGGGGAGGTTGTCTAGTCAGCGTCACCTATCCTCAAAGTCTCCCGGTTGCTGTCATTATAGAAGAAAGTTTCACAGATTAATAGCAAGAAGGAATCAGACGTGTGATAATGACGAATCTTTGACGCTAACACAATAAAATGACCCCGGAGTAAAGCCTTGGCCACGTTATGAGAATGAATCCTGATGTACCTGCCAGAACAGCTCTCACATGGATACCAGAGGGAAAGAGAAAAAAAAAGGGACGCCCCAAAACAACATGGAGACGAACGATGGAAAGTGACCTGAGTGCGGCATCTTTGACATGGAAAACTGCACTGAAGATTGCACAGGACAGGAGAGCATGGAAAGTCCTCTCTGAAGCCTTTTGTGCCACTAGGCTTCAAGAGAACAGACGATGATGATGAATAAAGCCTTGTAAAACAGGTCGGCACCGCCCTCGAGGTCAGGACAGGAGACACTGCAACCAACTACTCATGGGAACAATCAATGAAGGCACTTTAGGGTGGCTGCTGCCTCGGAAGATTGTGCACGTATGGGAATACCTATTGTGCCATGACATTGTTTGTGATAACAAATCAGAACATAACAAACCGAATGAAGAAAATGTAATACAATCTACTGATCCTCATTTTCCATATTAAATTTCCAGAACTTTCTGGAAAGTATTCAATAGTCACGAGATAGTCTCTGATCGATCTGTTGGTATAATTACATTTTATGATCTGGTTGTATAATTACACCTTCCTCTGACAGTACATTATTTGAGATATCTTCCAATTATTTCTTCAGTTTTGTCAAGTAGGGTTGTGGGGCCCAACCTGAGAAGAAACTTTCAAAATGTCAACACGGGAAAGACTCGGTGGCGAAATTTCAGTATTTGATTTAAAATATAAGAAGTGATATAAAACCAGCAATATTCATACAAGTCGCCACGCTTCAAATTATATTATCTCTATATGTTTATTGTGAACTCACAACATGTCATTTTACCATACACATAATTTGTTTCGTATACAAGTACCAATATTTTTACAATACCTATAATAAAATGGAGCCTACGCGGTTTTTTTGTAGACATTTTCCACGTCGCCTTTGCATTTGAGGAATGCAGTGAAACCGTTGTTTAAATATACACGGGTTTTCCCCTTACAAAAATGTTCAGTTTCAATTGTCTTGCTAACGGGCTCAGCATTTCCACATATTCAGCAGAAAGTACTCGTCTGGTTACTGTAGATAGGGTGTGGGCTCTAACTGGGATAGTTGGAATGCTGTGATATTCTTCTTCTTCTGTCCTCTCACTGTTACTAGCCCAGTGTGGTTGTGTTCTGTATTTGTCTTGCGATTCTGGAGTGACTTGAGTGATGGATTTTTTCATCGTTTTAAAGGTTTCAGCTACACCATTTATCCATCTATTTCTTGGTCTTCCTCTTGCCCTCCTCCCAGATGTTCTGCTATAAAAAGTCTCATATGCAGTTTGGTCTGGTTGCATTCTTACTATATGGCTGAACCATTTCATTCTGTGTTTGTTAATATAATCCATACATGGTCTTATTCCAACTTTTTTTTTTTTTTTTTTTGACGACTGGTATTCGTAACCCTGTCTCGTCTAGTGTTGTTGATGACCTTGCGGAGACAGCGCATTTCACGTGTAGATATTTTCTGTTCCAGTGCCCTATTCTTTGTCCATGTTTGGCATGTTGAATGTTGAATTAAGAATCTACATCACAGTACTCGGGACACTCCCATAAGTGCTCCGTCCCCATCTTCAGCAACAATCGAGGAGTTCCAATTCCGATGGTACCAGTAATCGTCTGATTGTATGTCCGTCTCATCCTTCCCCTGAGTGTTGAGCGTCGGCCAGATCCCCGGTGACTCCTCGCAGCGCCATTCTCCTCAGACAGCAATAATCATCTCTGTTTATCGGCACTGTTCACGTGTTTGGCACTTATAGCATTAAGTAGGGATAAAGATGCTCTTAATCATTTGCTGTTTTACTAGAAGGGAGACATTTGTGTGTCTAAGCAGTGGGGCTGACTAGTAGGTGATAGAATTTGCTTTAATGCTGTGATCAACAACAAAAAGTAAAGGACCCTTTTCCACGCCATCAGGCGTATAGGGTATATAGGGCTAGACCTATATTTTTATAGACCAATCGGCACAAGATGGGTGATGTGGTCAGCATCACGCCTGCCGCCTTTACTTTCCCGGGACTGCACCTGGTAACCACTCAAGGCTGGGTC